TTATCTATTGATTCTAACGCGTATTTACACTCACCGGCCACTTTATTAGGTACCCCATGCTAGCAACGGGTTGGACCCCCTTTTGCCTTCAGAACTGCCTCAATTCTTCGTGGCATAGATTCAACAAGGTGCTGGAAGCATTCCTCAGGGAGTTTGGTCCATATTGACATGATGGCATCACACAGTTGCCGCAGATTTGTCGGCTGCACATCCATGATGCGAATCTCCCGTTCCACCACATCCCAAAGATGCTCTATTGGGTTGAGATCTGGTGACTGTGGAGGCCATTTTAGTACAGTGAACTCATTGTCATGTTCAAGAAACCAATTTGAAATGATTAGAGCTTTGTGACATGGTGGAAGTAGCCATCAGAGGATGGGTACATGGTGGCCATAAAGGGATGGACATGGTCAGAAACAATGCTCAGGTAGGCCGTGGCATTTAAACGATGCCCAATTGGCACTAAGGGGCCTAAAGTGTGCCAGGAAAACATCCCCCACACCATTACACCACCACCACCAGCCTGCACAGTGGTAACAAGGCATGATGGTTCCATGTTCTCATTCTGTTTACGCCAAATTCTGACTCTACCATCTGAATGTCTCAACAGAAATCGAGACTCATCAGACCAGGCAACATTTTTCCAGTCTTCAACTGTTCAATTTTGGTGAGCTCTTGCAAATTGTAGCCTCTTTTTCCTATTTGTAGTGGAGATGAGTGGTACCCGGTGGAGTCTTCTGCTATTGTAGCCCATCCGCCTCAAGGTTGTGCGTGTTGTGGCTTCACAAATGCTTTGCTGCATACCTCGGTTGTAACGAGTGGTTATTTCAGTCACTGTTGCCCTTCTATCAGCTCGAACCAGTCTGGCCATTCTCCTCTGACCTCTGGCATCAACAAGGCATTTCCGCCCACAGAACTGCCGCTCACTGGATGTTTTTTCTTTTTCGGACCATTCTCTGTAAACCCTAGAGATGGTTGTGCGTGAAAATCCCAGTAGATTAGCAGTTTCTGAAATACTCAGACCAGCCCTTCTGGCACCAACAATCATGCCACGTTCAAAGTCACTCAAATCAACTTTCTTCCCCATACTGATGCTCGGTTTGAACTGCAGGAGATTGTCTTGACCATGTCTACATGCCTAAATGCACTGAGTTGCCGCCATGTGATTGGCTGCTTAGAAATTAAGTGTTAACGAGCAGTTGGACAGGTGTACCTAATAAAGTGGCCGGTGAGTGTATATTACCTTTATACATTTATTCATTTAAACTGCTTAATAATGAGTTACAAAATAAAATTGTACATGTGTGATCGATTAAGGGTATAATAATTACATAAATAATATCTATATCATACAAAATTATTATTCTAAATAAGCATTAGGCTACTAAAAGCCAGACGATTTTGTCTTTAAAATCATTTGCTGTAGTGACCTTTAATTTGGAGTAGAAACAGGTCGAGTGACTTTATCGCATCAGACATATGTCACTTTGCTCACAGCTGATTGGTCCAAGTTCGGTTTGCAACCTCTTACCTGGAACATAACCTGCCCCTGGTTTCACAGACAGGGCTTAGATTAAGCCAGGATTAGGCCTTAGTTAAATTAAGACATTTAAGTAGCTTAGAAAAAAAAATCTTGTGTCCATCTTGAGAAAAAAACAATGGCACTGACATATTTTAAGTTAAGTTGCCCAACTAAAGTAAACACTGACCTCCATAATGGTGACCTAAAAATGGCGACTCTTTCCTTCAGTGATTCTGATAGTTAATATCAGATGTCTACAATAAGGTTCAATCATCATGCAATTAATCACTTATCTCATTAACTTTAACACTGCTTCAGTGTTAATTGTAACACTCTTGACTCAAACTCTGAGGAGAGTCAATTTAACACACTTTTTTTTTGTGAACCTGCAGTGTCAACATGAATGTTTCTGAAACATCTCAGGATATGTGAGCTAATTATCACAAAAAAAATTTTTTGAGTCAGCTATAAGTCGTCTAGGCCGTTAGTACACCGCTTCAACCAGTAAAAATGCTCAAGCAAATCTTTTTGCCCAAAAACCAAATAACACAAACACACAGTGTACTTATGTTCAGCTGCTGATTTATATGAAATTTCTGAATCCGTTTTAGCCACAACCAAGTTCCAACATGTGAATAGTGCACACAAATCTGCTCACATTTTAGAGGACCTTAGGGTACGTTTACATGACAACGATGCACTAAAAACGAAATGTTTTTTCTTTGTACAGACGACAACGGATCCGTGAAAACGACTAAAAACGCTGTATTATGCATGCCAGACAAGTAGTTGGCAGAGCACTAGCGCCAAACGCACATGCCTATAGATTAAACGCGTAATAAGCATTCACAGATTCACATTTTTGTAGTTTAAATGTAGATGATAACGGTATCGTTTTCAAAAACGTGCACTTTGAAACCCATTTTCAAAAGTTTGCGTTTTCAGGCCACCAAAACGCCGTTGTCATATAAATGAATGGCCAAAACGCATAAAAAGTTTTCCGTTTTTAGTTGAAAACAGTGTCGTGTAAACGGCCCCTTAGTTGGTTGCTGGAGGTTCATGTTGGAAGAAGTTAAAAGAGCAGTTTTCCAGTGAAACAAAACCAAGTCAAATGTCTATCTAAAAGTGTCTGTCCATTAAGCAGAATATAAGACGATAAAATTGCCATAGTCCTTGATAAAAGAAAAAGTTTTAAATGTATGCATCATCTGAATCAAATGTAGGATGTCAGACAATATTGGTCTTAAGATACTATTTTAAGTGTTTAAGTAATAACCTCCAGAACCAATTACAGTTCACTGACAAAGAGGATTTATAAAAACATGGGTCACAAATGTATGACACAATTAATCTAAATACAGGTTTTCTCTTTTGTGCAACTAAACAATTAATCTACAACATGAAAAACTATTATTATAAAAATACATATCTCATAGATTCATCAAACACACTTTGTGTATTATATGAGGAGTGAGTAAATATGTATCCATTAAAAAGGCTGAGAGCTGTGATCTCAGTAACCTTCAATCAAATGCTCATTTTAAATGTAAAAATGTATCAAGAACCCATGATTGCAAATGGAACATGTCACTTTACTTTGTCATGCTATCCTGAAAAGAAAACCTATAATCAGTCAATAGAAACAGAGCCCTTACAGCACTATTACAATTAGCATTAAATTGTTTAGATTGACACTTTAAAATGACCATATACATACATTCTCATTCCACATTCCATTTTGATAGCTGTAATTATATAATGTAATAAGGCATTGACACATGAAAATACTGTAGCATACCACAGCACTAAATGTTATCCTCGACAAAAACTTTACATGCAAGCTGCTGCTACTACACAGCAAAATGACAACTTTGCACCAACCATTAGAAGCACAGCTTGCTTGTAAAAATGTAGGAATTTGACTATCGTTCAGATAATTATATCTACACTTATTACTTGCCTGCAAACTACTTCCGATGAACTTAAATGATTTGGTTACACTTTATTTTAAGGTGTCATTGTTACAGTGTAATTATTTAAGTACTGAGTAATATTAAGTTACTAAATGTACTTAATATAGGGTTAGGGTAGGATTAGGTTGAGGGTTAGTTGCATGTAATTATGGATAATTTACTGTTATTACTATGGTAAGTACATATGCAACAAGGACACTGTAAAATAAAGTGTTACCAATGATTTTTTCATGTGGATTGCTTGAGGAATGATAGCAAGTGCATGACATTTGCAATAAACAGTAATGCAGTGTTCAAACTAGTGCTGTCAAATCAATTAATCGCGATAAATCACATCTAACATACAAGTTTTGGTTTAGATAATATATGTGTGTGTGTGTGTGTGTGTGTTTATATATATTATATATATATGTGTGTGTGTGTGTGTGTGTCTCTTATCTGTGTATTTATATATGTATAAATATATAAAAGTATACGTGTGTGTGTGTATATACACAGTATATATACACACACTAACATACCTGTATATATATATATATTAATATATATACATATAATAATATATATACACACACATATATTATGTAAACAAAAACTATTATGTTAGAAATGATTAATCGCAATTAATTGATTTGACACTACTAGTACAAACTTAATATTCTGCGTCAGTGTAAAATGATATGACATCCTTATTAAGTGATCAAATATAAACAAACTCAATATTAAGTTATCATCAAATGAATATGATCAATTTTAAACATGATCAAATTATAATACTGCCTGCTGCAAAACAAACAAACGTTCTAGTGGTTTTTGTCCATAGTGGTTTGTATTTCATGAAGAATAGTGCAAATAAATAATTACATAATATGTAAACTAGGCTCTTTAAATAAACACTAAAATGTATACTTTTTTTATAAATGATGTTTTTGTAATTTTTGATACTTTTTAAGCCCCTGTTCTTCTTCTCTACATCATGCCAAGAATGAATGCAGTATTATGATGATTTGTTGAAATGATTTCAGATTTATAGTCTTTGGAATGAGTATTATAGAAAGGCTACACAAAATTATCTTGTGTAGAAAATGACATAAGACCAATATGAATGTGCTTTGTATACAAATTATAGTACTTATATAATAATTAAAAAAATGAAGGTATTGTGGAGTATAGCCATAACTAAACGACACTGTCCAAAATAAAAAACAAAAGATCATGTTTAAGCTTAAAAAGATTGAAATAGCTAATGGCTAAATTTCCTTCATTTTTTCCTTCTAAATTGCCTGATATTGAACCAAGATCACCGAATTCACTACCATGCCCACTTTAGGTCAATTACACGCAATATATGTGAATTTATAGTTTTTATAACAATTAACCTGGCAACAAAATGAACCCTTCCTACAAAAAGATTAGGTTTAAATTAGCTTAAACAATGGTAAGTATTCCTATTTTGCAGCAAATAAATAAAATAAAATTAACTTAACAGTTTTTCATCAATTTTTCATCAATGTATTTGAAGACCCCTGTAAAACACATCATTGCACTCACCATCCATGTAATACAAAATAAACATCATACCATTAGATCCAACAAGAGCTAAAGCGAAAATCAATGTCAGTTCACGTGAGCCACCAGTTCATGAGTAAAAAGTCTCCTCCATTCTGCTAGTATCTCACCCTACTCCTGAAGTCCTCATACTCCACAGTCCATGTTCCTGTCCAGCAGTTTGCGGTGGAGGGTTAGCAGCGTGGAGAGGCAGGCCACGGACATGTGGAAGACCAGCTGCCAGATGTTCCTCGGGCCAAAGAGAAAAGCATTGCATAAGATGATGAGAGTCAGGAGAGTGAAGGCTTTCAATTTCTTCTGGCAGGTATGGAACAAGTACAGATGACACTGTGTTGGGAAGGAGACACAAATTTGAGTTAGGCAGCTTCGTGTGCATTTACAGGTGTTATGCCACATGCAGAGTAGTAATGCAATTTACCTGGCAAACACAGCAGAGAAATGCCAAAAGAAAAGCCACCACATTCCACAAACCATCATAATCATCCTGTAAAAAATGGTGTCATATCATAAATAAAAACTTCATCACTTAATTAATCATAATGAATCAATTAATTTATTAATTAATTACATATCAGGAGTTATTATAGGGATTTTGTACCAGTGTTATTTTATTATTATTTATAGACGTATAGAATTATTAATATCTTGAATTAGCTTTTATGTTTTCATTTTAATTTTAGTTTACATTTTAGTACTTTGCTATTTGCTTTTGTCTTTTTATTACTTTTTAAAAAATATCTATTTTTATTTAAGTACTTTAACTTATTTTATATTATTTATATCATTAACATATATATTTTTTCAGCTTTATTTCCAATAATGAAAACAACTTTTAAAAGTTTTAGTTTAACAATAACAAAACAAAAGGGATATGAATCAAGATATGAATCTCCTCCATCCCAAAAAAAGCATCATTACCCAAGTTGCCACCCTTTTGTGGTATTCCTACATACATATGTCTGCTAGGCAAAAAAATAATACAATAAGTGTACAAATAATGACTTTATGGTATGTCCGCCTATACAGCTTTTAATAAACCAAGGGTATCTGCTACTGCAAGACAAGATTATTCAGTACCAGCATACAGAGTATCAGCTGATATAATAGATTTTTTTTAGTCAGTATTGGCCGATACTGGATATTTAATTGCACTCATGCATGCCCTAATTTTATATTTAGATTACCTTTGAGCCATCTAACAATTGCTTAAAGATAATATTTAAAAACACTAATAATTTCATAACTAATAAATTAAAATTAATACAAATGAATATCCATTTTACATAATATCCATTATAATGCCTTAATTCACTTGAAGCATTTAAATAATCTAATTTTAATTTAGACAAAATAGTGAATATATTTACTTTATTTAGACGGAAGGGTATATAATTTTGATATTGGCAATGTATTGGTTATCAGCCATAACTTCTCTTAAAGGGATACTCCACCCAAAAATGAAAATTCTGTCATCATTTACTCACCCTCAAGTTGTTGCAAACCTGTATGAGTTTCTTTCTTCTGCTGAACACAAAGGAAGATATTTTGAAGAACGATTGGAACCAAACGGTTGTTTGGCACCATTGACTTCCATAGTAGAAAAAAAAAAATACTATGGAAGTCAATGGTGCCAAAGTTCCAATCGTTCTTCAAAATATATTCCTTTGTGTTCAGCAGAAGAAAGAAACTCATACAGGTTTGCAACAACTTGAGGGTGAGTAAATGATGACAGAATTTTCATTTTTGGGTGGAGTATCCCTTTAAATGAACACCTGCATACAACAACACTTGGACCACAGCGTTACCTGGAAGTTGTATTCAATAAGGTGAACACCACGTATAAGGTTGAGGGCAGCACACATGATGTTAAGAACCAGTGAGAGGATCCCTGGTGCTGAGATTGGTTCCAATCTCTGACTTTGACCTTTAAAATCAACAGAGATCAATAATCAGTCAAAACATATATGCCCAACTTAAGCTGCTGCCACCCTTATGAAATAACTGCAATCGTCAATATAGCAAACCTGACGCAGCTGCTTGTTCTACATGCCCATTGGCTGCTCCATTGGTGAGTGCCACGTCCTCCATGGTGAGAACCTGAGGGGGGCTGGTCCTGAGGTCTTCCTGCACCTCGGCCAGGGTCACCTCCAGAGATGGACCCCCTTTATGGTTATAATGCTGCTGGAGTTTTTGAATGGCACTATCTGAAATTAAACCATCAGACAAAAATGAACAGTTCATTAGTGCAATTGTTAATGTAATATCTTAAACTCAAGCTCTGTTTCATATCCATGGTTTAAATGCACTTAATGAATCAAATCCAATCCTATGCATTTTTCTGTCACCTTACCAAACTCCAGAAATGGGTACGGCCTGCTTGCCAGGGTCACTGCAGAGTTGTCGAAGCATGCTGTGAATTCCCAGCGCAAATCTTCCAAGAAGCAGAAGGCCGTGGCAGCGGGGAGACTGCATGCACATACGGTCATGTACGACACACCCTCGGATGAGAGGAAGCTACAACACACAGAGAGACCACTTAGTTAACAAATGAATTCACAGGGCGGTCACCAATTTCCTTGGCTTATCCCGGACTCCGGAATGCAGGTAAACAAGGCCAGGTACATTCTTATAGTTCCTGTGTCTGATATGGCAACACTTAGTGAAACAATAGAGTCATGTCACAAAATTCGGTTTGATACACGATGCTGATCTAACAATACTTTAAACAGTCAAACTAGAGTGGAATGTTTTTTTTTAAGTCACCATGAAATCAATTTATTATCAATGATTTATATGTGCACATCACAATTATTTGTACATATTTACCACATATTTGTGCCTCATAAGCTTTAATCAAAATAAGTTCCCCTCCCACTTGCAGCAACATCTCTTCTCTTCTCTGATGGCGTGCTTACTGGCGTGAGGGCGGGAATACCTGTCACTCACATGACATCACAGCAATAGCAAACCACAAACTGGATAAAATCAAGTCCCTCCCCTACATTATTTCTAGTTCAAGATGCCATTTCACTTGGATATACGTCAGAATAGGTGCAAAAGACTATTGTAACTTCCGTTTTATGCCTACTTTAAATGATTACTTCTAAGACATATGATAAACTGTTTATTATAATGCTCAATTTGGTATTATACCAGGAATGGGCTTGAATAGGCTTGTATGTTGTCCGTCTCCTCCATTAACAGGGCAATGGTGACAACAGAATAGAATTATTCATGATTCAACTTAGCTAAAAATACAAAATTATGACACATATGCTTGCACTGGGTCCCTGATTACATTCATTTAAAACGTTTTTTAAATATTGTATTGTTTAAATTATGCATTTCATTTTTCGGTTACACTTTACAATAATTTTATAAGTTGACATTATTTAACTACATTAGTTAACATGAACTAAGAATGAACAATACTTCTACAGCATTTATTATTCTTAGTTAATGTTAATTTCCACATTTACTAATACATTATTTAAATCTAAAGTTGTATTTTTTTAACATTAGTTAGTGCACTGTGAACTAACATGAACAAACAATGAACAGCTGGATTGGATCAACAAAGTTTAACAAATACAGTAACAAATGTATTGTTTATGGTTAGTTCTTGTTAGTTAATACATTAATACCTTATTGTAAAGTGTTACCAATTTTTCATTTATTCATAATAACACATTTTTATTGCACATAAATGTTAAATAAATGTTAAATGTGCAATGTACCGGATTTAGCCAGAGGCTAATTTTCATCCACAGGTCACCACTAACAAACCTTCTTTAAGTGACAAAATAACAAGACAAATTGATGGACGGTCAAATGTGTGACTTTCTGGGTTTACCCTATTTGATGCTAAATTAAATCTGTGTAAACTTTTATTTTGGGTGAACTGTGCACAACATTATTGCCGCTTTACTTATTCACCATTCACTGCTCAAGAGCACAACACTTCTTGGGTTTGAAGCTGAAGCCTTTTGGTTTCCATGACTTCTAAAAGACACAGAGTTGTCCACAAACAAGAGTGCACTTACTGAACGTTGAGTTCATGGCCCCTGACTGTCCCTCTCTCTGGTAATAAACTTAGGGATTTTGAGATCACTTTCAGCTGTTGCTTTCTCTCCTGAAGTTCCTTGTTATGCAGGAAATCAGTGGAGGCGGTGAGAGGGAGTCCATCCCTGACCCGGACCACAAAGGCAAACAGGATCAGTGACATGCTCCTCGGAGGCTTCTATGAGAACACATCCTGAACACAAAGCAGAGGAAAGATACAGATAATTATTACAAAGTAACAACTACAGAACATGTCTGATGAGAAGAATCTTTCAAATGTATAGCCGCAACTGTGGATGTAAACTAAACTAGCGGTAAAAAAAATGTAGATCTACTCATGCTTTAATATTCATATTTTTACTTTATTATTGCTTATTTTGAAACACTTTACAATAAGGTTCCATTTGTTAACAACATTAGAGTTAACTAACACTGAAAAATACGTCTAAAGCATCGTATGTTAATTTCAACATACAAATTCATTATTAAAATCAAAAGTTGTCTCTGTAAATTTTATTTAGTGGACATGGGCTAACATGAACCGTTGTATTTCAGTAAGTATTGGTAAGTAGATTAATAAATACTGTAACATAAATACTGGCTATTATTAGTGCATTGCACAAAATCAGATTAAATTCATACATAGGCACAATGTATATGTCTAAAAACTAAGTTCAAGCATTTTAGCATGAGTCTTTTGATCAAAACATTTATAAGATAATGAGAAAAATAAATTTAGTGAAGTGTATCCAAACGTTTTTACTGGTAGTGTATGTCTGCACTCTAAAAAGACCTATATTATTACCACTTATTTTACATTATATGCATATAATAACAAAATATTATATTACAGTTTAACATGGTTAATATGAAAAGAATTTGAACTAAAGGTACATATTAATTTTATACAGAGTTTTAATATTGAAAAGGAATCCACCACTGGTTTGTGACTGTACGATAGCGTAACCATTGGTTCCAACTTAACTGGACCACATTTGCAAAGTTTGGATATAAATTCCCATGGTGCAGCATTAAATGTGGACTGGATTTTTAATTCAAATACAGTAGTTCAAATACACAGTCATCATTCTACAAGGCACTGCTAGCAGGTGCAAATGCATTTTACCATCCCTTACCTTACGACAGCTCAATACATTTACACTGATTATGTCAAACAGTAAATTAAAAAAGCTCAGGTGTATTTAAAACTGTGTTTTTAAAATGTCTCAAAATAATGATTACGGAGTTATTTATGACTTAATGATATAAAGACGCGACCAGGGGCTTTTTGTTTGTCTCTCTGAATTATGGGAAACAGGAGCGTCACCGGAAGCCGTTATTTCAAAATAAAAGTCCGTACATTACTGAAGATCAATTTCAAAATGTCAAATGGTGGGTTATGTGAATGTGTTCTATTTACAGAGAGCATAGATACAAAAAAAAAAAAAAAATATGAAAATAGTAAATATATGTAATATTTAAAATACATTTTATATTAAAGTTAATATAAAATATAAAACATTATTTACATTTTTCAACAAATATAACATAAATAATATAAACTTAAATCATTTTCGATATTTTCAATGAAGAGTAACAATTTGCAATTGCTGTGGGTTTCCGTCGATAGTTGGCGGCTGTGTCAGAATCTCAGTTTAAAAAGCTAAATAGAAACTAGAAAAGCGGTGTTGCCATGTCAAGTTTTTGTAAGCCCCTTTGGGATTTTTCATACAGCGACCTAAAACATATGCAGTTTTTAGGGGGATTATTTACAGAATACAGTTCCGTCGGGGAGGGGGAATATGTGGTGGTGCATATGGAAATCAATAAATTCTTCATAATTCATACACAAGTAGCCAGCCACCCTTTAACCACACCTCTCTAACAAAAACGCTCGATTCTCCTGAGAGATCTGGCAACACAGTAGGAGCTACAGCGATCAGCCGACCGACCGAGCGGGTTTAGTTAGTTAAAAGCTTTTTGCCCTATACAAGTAAGTGCAAAAATATATGTTTGTGTCAGTACATGAATAGTACTATATCTGAGTCATACTGGTTTTTATGTAATAATTTAACACTGAAGATGCCGTTTATAGGTTCTTATAAAACGTCGTCAGCTTTAAATGGTAAACAATGTTAGCCAGCTAGCTAGCAATCAAACGACTTTTGGCCAAAACTTAAACATTTATTATTTACAGTTATGCTTTTTTAAATAATAATTTTAAGTAGAAGTTGTTTTAGTTTGACCTCAGTCATGAGGTGTTGTTTTAGCTACCCGTGCTAATGTATTTTAGCAATTGGCTAATATTCTCAGCGAATGAGCACCTCATTTTAGTTTCTCCAAAACACTGTGGTTCATTTTAAGTTCATTAATTGATATCATAATAATACTTATTGTAATCTTTCATATGTGCATATTTATGAACGGGCGTTTTCCTTAGTCAAGTCTCAGCACATTTATTTGAACCCCTACATGACTGCTACTGCCATACTATAGTAAATACACTTGTTATTGTATTATAAAGTACAATAAGAGATTGGATGTTTGCCTGATCTACATTATGTAACATGTCTGAGAATGGATTAAGCCTGCCTATATTGTTTGTAGGTGTTGTACTCTAACACCGCGAAAGTCTATTGAACAACAAGTCTATGCTTATGAAAAAAAACACCTTTGTTTTAATCTAGCTTAATTTAAAAGAAGTGATCGAGCGTGTGTTAATTGTAATGACTTAAGTGGAACTGGGGTGTATCTCTTGTATTTTAAGGTTTTTCTAGGTCTAACACGTGGAAATGTCCTCCTTTCCCCCCTGTGACATTCACTCTGACATTTGCCATTTCACCAAGTAGCAGTTAGAGGACTGATAAACTGAGTTGTTTTGATATGGGAAAGCAGCTGGCATGACATTTTCTGTAGTTGTAATATAATATGTGCCTTAAGGAATTTCAATAACTTCATTCCCTTCTTGTAATTTGAGATGTTGTGTTAATCTGATGGCAAGTCATTCCTCTGTTCAGCTAAAAGACTTTATTGTCTGCGATTAGAGGGAAAATAAGTCAGTGCTGTGTGACAGGATAAAGATGTTAATATTTCCCATAATTTTTTATCTGCTTAGTTCTTGTTATGGTCTGTTTGGTCCATTACTAAACTATATTTGGAGCTCCTCCCTATACAGAAGTTTCTAGCTCAAAGATAGCACATGTATGGTTTAACTAGGGTTCCTAGTTCAGGATGACAGCACACATCACAGCAACAATGTCTAATTCATCACCCGGTGATAGACAGAGCAGTTCTCAAAAAGGGGGGTGGAAGTTGAGGTTGGAGGGGCATGCATGGAGATTTACATCTCATTGGTTAACCCGAAACACTTCCCCAATCTCAGTGTCTGACTTTCTGTTCACTTACAAATCAGGATCCACCTGAAACTGGAGAGAAACAATATCCTGTAAGATATCTGACAAATGTATTTCTTTCTGGTGTAGGTGATAGGGAATACAGCATTTAACTGTATTTTACTGTGATTTTACACTACAGGAAGCCCACTCTTTTCAAAATGGGGGTAAAAGATCGACCTCAGTGCTATTTTGATGTGGAAATCAACAGAGAACCAGGTAAGATGTGACAATCATTGCTGTTTAGTGTTTGGCTGTTCTGAAATAGTGTTGTGTGAAGGTCAAATAGTTAAAAGTACATGTTTTGATAGATAAATGCTTAAAATGTTTGCTTTTAGGTTATCATTTATATCCGTTTGCATTGTATTTCAAAATCAACTACAGAAACTATCTTTAGCAGTCAACATTAGTGTTTTTGATCAAATGTTGTAAATAGTAACATTTAAAAGGGGTTCAGAGTTGTTATCTTTAACTTTGAGCATTTTTGTATTGAAATTTTGAAGTTATGGAGCTTGTACAAAGGATAAAGAGTTAAACCAGCTAATAATAAGTGCCTAATAACGAAAGCGAAACATTATATGTGCATGTTTTATAAGTACTTGGGTAATGGCAGCTAATATTCATGTGCCAGTGAGTGAGAAGCTGTTGTGGCAATCCACACCCTGACCTGCAGGGCTGTTTTAATGAACCACAGACTTTCAGTGTGTACTAAAAAAAACGTCTGGGTTTCACCTCAGTCTACCACTAATTATGTGTTATAAGAGAGAGGTCTGCTTCATAAAGCCAAAACCTCTTATTTAGTGATTTTACACCCATTATTTTACAAAGCAAATGTTTTAACACCCTGTTTAGATTCATTTTAGCACAAATAAATTAATTGGATAGGCCTGTCTTTATGTATTTTGCAAAAACACACTTAAATTGAAATGCTCTTGTATTTGAATATGAAGGAGGTGTTGCCGTTTGCCTCACTGAAATCAACCTAAAAATGATAGCTAATAAATTGAATTGCAGTTATAGTCACATTAATCTAACTAATCTTTTTTTTTTATCAGCAAGCTTAAAACGTATACATTTCTGATCCACGAGTATAAGGTTTCCTTCTGCTTTCTTCTAGTTGGACGAATTGTCTTTCAACTGTTCTCAGACGTTTGTCCCAAGACGAGCAAAAACTTTCTTTGGCTGTGCACTGGTACGTATACTTGACAGAAATTGCTTAACATGCTACAGCAAGTTATTTTACCTAGACTGGGTCTTTAAACATGTAAAGAGCTCCAATACCAATTCATGTCCATGTACACAAGCATAAGCTTATAGGGATATTGGACAAAAATAAACATATATAAGGTGACTAAATCCTGGCTGTAAAACAACCAAAGCTGTATTTACAGCCTGTTCCTAGAAGACAGAAGCTGCGTTAGTCTGCGTTGAGATGGATTGGTCATAAATTAAAGTTGGTAATGCTTTGGGTCAATGCTGGGATCTTTTTTTCTCACCAGCTGAGATTGAAATGAGAGACTCATGCCTTTAGCTGACTGTTTTGTTGCATATACCAATCCCCATGTCACCCACACCCTCACCCACCTGTATTCATTTCGGTTTTATCGGAATCTCTTCCACGCTGATCGGATTGGATTAACCTTTTGCTGTCTATGTAATTGTATACTTTAGAACAGATTCCAGTTTTTCAATTTAGAGTACAGTACTTTACAGTATTAGTATTAATTTAAGTATGTCCACGTTTTTTAAGAGCTTAGTCTGTGAAATCATGGTCTTTGGTTTGATTTATGGCCGGTATATTTCTGAGCTGCACATACCAGGTCTGTTATATAAAAGTAATCAGAAATTATGTAATTCTTTGGTTTGCTTGCAGGCGAGAAAGGCAGTGGCAAAACTACAAGAAAAAAATTATGCTATAAAGGCTCAACTTTCCATCGAGTTGTAAAGAACTTCATGATCCAGGGGGGCGATTTCACGGAGGGTATGTGCAGCCATACTCATAACTGACTCAGATATATGGAGATGGTTGCTTATACTCAATTGTCTGTGTGCTTATAAATGAATGTGCTTTTCTTTGCTTAGGCAATGGAAGAGGAGGAGAATCTATATATGGTGGTTTCTTTGAAGGTAAGCCATCTTCAGATACGTTCTGTTCTTTATCAAGCACTCAGTAACCTTAACAAGGTGCCTTAATTTGATTGTTTTAACATCTCTCGCATGACTTTTGAATGGGCATCTCAGTTCTGTGCATGAATTACCAGCCATTGTTTTTTTTTTTTTATCTCGCTGTTGCTGAGAATCTTGTCTCTGTGATCTTAAAATGATCTTCTTTTTTGAGTCAGCATGGAGATTAAGGGCTATTTATTCATTTAAAGGTCCAGTCTTCTTGCCTAAAATTTTCAACATATTCTTTTATTTATAGAGATTGTGGTCTTTTGCAAAATGAGAAGGTAAGAGATGTACACAGTGCAGTAACACAATGTAGACTCAACATTCCCTATTCCCAATTCCATATGTGAACCATGACAAAAACGTCCACACTGCACAGTGTGCTCATGGATATGTGGACCTCGAAATTGATTTGGTTGACTGACTTCTCTTTTTTTGTTGTTTTATTTTGTGTCTTTCTTAATTGTTCCAGGATGGCTTGTCATGCAATACAATACTCTTGAAAAGTATTAGTTCACCTAAAAATGGTCATTTATTCATCTCTCATGTCGTTCCAGATATACATGACTTTATTTCTTCAGTGAAACAGAACAAGAAAATTGTAATAATATGCAGGTCAATCTTTTCTATGCAATTGCAATAAACCTTTACAATACTTTTTAAGTGCTGTCAAATCGATTAATCGATTCTAAACAAGTTTATGTTTATAAAATATATGTGTGTAATATATTATTATATTTTTATATATTTTATATATATATATATATATATATATATATATGTGTGTGTGTGTGTGTGTGTGCGCGTCTGTGTGTGTACACGCGCACACACACACACACACACACACACACACACACACATATATATATATATATATATATATATATATATATATATATATACACACATACACTTTTTTGTTAGAGTCGATTCATGGATTTGACAGCACTATTTTTTAATAAAACTTTTATGGAGCTTTTGCATATTTTTTGAAGCTTAAAACCTCCAGCAGTTGCATCGAATAGAACTGTATTTGATTAAAAAAAATGTTCTTTTCATGGTCTCTCTCTACAGAAGGAAGTGAATCACCTGGTTTGGAATGTCATGAGAATGTGTAAAAAAATGTTTTTTTTTTTTCAGTTTTGGGTGAACTATCCATTTTAGAAATAATTCGGCATAAACAGTTTTAATGTAAACTGTAGTTGTTTTAGTGGCCCTCAGAATAGAAAATCTCTGCTTTTACACAAAGGAGCATAAGAAACACTCAGAGTTCAGAAGCAGGATAGAAGCATCACTGATGACAGGTGTTCATGAACATCTCTTTTCCTGCTGCAGTCTATCTCCTTAACACGACTTTTTGAAGCAGTCGACAAGCACTCAGTGTCCTTCTTTGTCCGTATCTCTTTTCAACAGATGAGAACTTTACTCTCAAACATGACAGAGCCTTCCTCTTGTCGATGGCCAACCGTGGTAAAGACACAAATGGGTCCCAGTTTTTCATGTAAGTAGTATTTATTCTGGTATAAGACTCACAGAGGGTGTATGTGTGTAAAGAATCAACCATTTATCACCAGACCTTTTGCTTACCATTTAATATGACTGATTGGTCACTATTAAATGACACATGCAATATGTATAGATTACGTATTCCCCTAGTGTTCAAGATCATTTCTACAGAGCTCAGTCATAGCCTTTAGACTGTGGCGCAACTTAAATTAATGTACATTTGAAAGCATGTATCTGTTATAAGAGCTTGCTCAAAAAACACAATGAGCATCTGGGCTTCTAATTTTGGCTCAAGTGTAATTCTCTCATACTTATATTGTTCCAAATTTATTTTTAAAGACCACTAGTGATATTCCTTTTGCCATTCACGCTCACGCTGTCTAACTTTCCTAGACCTCTTCAATCTCTTTACCATATATAAATATATATACATATTCTGACTCTTTTTATTTTGGAGATTCTACATAGTGTACATGTTCATGTGGGATGCAGGTGCATTTTCATCTCCCTTTTCCCTTGTCAATGTGCATTTAGAAATATTTTTACATCAGAAAGAAATTCCCTTTTTGCCTACAAATGTATTACAATTTTTCTCTTGCCGTTTTTGTGTAAAATTTGCAGAAACTCTAGCATCCTGCTCTACCAAGGTAAAGTGTCTCTCCAAGGCTGTGCTTCTCTCTCCTGACTGTGTATTTCTGGTTGCTTTTAGCTAGCACTGGCTTTTGTTTATCTTTAAATAATGTTTTTACCTCATTAAATACCTGTTCTCCCATCACAGAGAACCTGATGTCTTTCAATTATTGTTGTATTTCAAGTTTAGCATTACAGGATGTATTTTCCTGCCAAGGACACACTGATTTCTAATTGAAGTTGTCCCTATGATATTTTTAAACAGGTTTAATTGTTTTTGTCAGCATAATGTTGGCAGATGTTGGACCTGTCCCTGTTCGTCATTAGTATTTATTCATCCAGCATATGTTATTGTGCAAGCACTGCTGGTTTTAAATTACTCTGAATTTTTGTTTGAATAGATACTCAGATTTCTTCTTGATGAAAGACTGAATGTGTGTGTGTGTGTGGTTTTTTTGGACTAAATTTTCTTTCGTTTATTTTTTTCACCCACATGTACCTGATGGATGACCTGGACTCCATTATGTAATTTGCCTCATAACAGAACTACAAAGACAGCGCCTCACCTAGATGGGTACGTTCATAAGTGGACTTTGTTTAACTGTTATAGTTCAAGCCATACTGTAGGAAATTGCTTGAACTACAAGAAAATAATTTTAAAATACTCATTTGTAGTTTAGAAATAATTTATTTATTATAACTTATATTTATTATTACTTGATTTGTAGGCAAGATTTTTTCTAAAATCCCCAAAGTTCTTGTAACTAAGGATTGTTGGTCTTATTTAGAGTGCATGTGGTCTTTGGGCTGGTCATCTCAGGCTTTGAGGTCATAAAGAAAATCGAGGGGCTGAAGACTGACTCAGCCAGCAGACCCTATGCTGACGTCAGAGTGATTGACTGTGGACAGCTGATTACAAAGTCTGCTAATGATGGTAAGCTTGTTCCTGTGAATGAGAGACCAACTTGGAATTTTGGCTGCTGACCTGCCGCCTGTCACTATGCTGTCTGAATCTGATGGAGAATATTTTTTTTAATCTCCACATCAACAGCATTGTGCGGTTAAATATGGTGTTTAAAAATAGAACGGGTGCTTTGAAATACTGCATACTTTAATACACTTACACTCTGTCCTAGCCAGGCATGACATGACAAAGCATCAAGTAACAAATCACTTCTCCATGTTGAGTTTTACCCCTAACCAAGCACGGCAGGTGATGTGCTATAATCCAGTCGCTTATATGTTGTTTATTTCATGCCATGTACAGAAAGCTCCAGTTCAAAATAAACTAATAAAATCACATGCTCTGCGCTCTGATAATGTAAGCAGAGATAAAGAGAATGAATAAATTACATTCTGTGTAATTGCAGCTGTTCAGTACATTTTCTGGCTAAGTTTGATGTATTTTCTTTAGTTCTTCAAGGCAAAAGGAGGAAAACGTTCCACTCTGAGGATGACTCGCAGAGTTCCTCAGAGACTTCATCTCAGTATTCCTCCTCTGAAGGAGAGTCTGACAAGAAGTGTGCATCTCGAAAGAGGAAAAGAAACTCTAAGAGTAAGCACTCAAAGAGAAAAAGAAAGGAGACAAAGAAGGAGAGAGACACAGTTAAAACAGCAGTACATGGAAGGTAAATCACTGTAACCAGTATAAGCATGGTTGACCTTTATTTAGGTTGTTTAATATAAATACTATATATGTTTTTCCTGATTCACAGTCTTGGTGAGGGAGAGATGGCAGAGGAAGATGATGGTGAGGCTGAGCAAAATGTGAAAAGGGAGAAGCCTGTGGTTCGACCAGAAGAGATCCCACCCGTGCCAGAAAACCGTTTCCTGCTCCGCAGAGACATGCCTTCCCAGGAGGAGACCATTAAAACGTTAGTGTCTTTTGTACAATTCAACAAACAGATGTTCCTCTTTTCATTCAAACATCACAAGAATCTGTCCTCCCTATCCCCAGTTATTAGATAGTTATCTGAAATTCTCTGGGGTCAATTTTTAAAGTGTTACAAGCAAACCATAGTGATTAATATTTTAGTTTTCTTGCTTGATTAATCCCTGAAATCCATGGGTCAGTTTTGATGCTATATTTTAAACCAATAGAGGTAGTCTTGAAACTGATTCTTTTCTCACCACCCCACCCCACAATAGGGTTGTACAGGACATGGTCGTGGCAGCTAATGACACCAAACCAGCTGTCACAAAATCTGGACGCAAGATAAAAGGACGCGGAACTATGGTATGACAACCGTGAATTACATTTATATCACTTACAGAAAAAACTATGACACAGAATGACATTGTACAAAGGACAACGGACAAAAAGCATGTTTAAAAAAAAAGAATATATATATATATATATATATATATATATCAGTTGTTTTAATTCTAATTCTAATTATCTAATTCTAATGATTTGACATTGACTCTTAAAAAAGTGCTTGATGAGAATGTTGGTCTGTTTGATAGGCCATGCATGAAGTGTTGTTTTTTATTCCCCCTGCAGAGGTACCATACACCCCCACGGTCAAAGTCCAGATCAGAGTCAGAAGGGGAACGGGGGAGCAGTGAGACTCCCCCACACTGGAAAGAGGAAATGCAGAGGACCAAGGCTTACCAGCCCCCCAGCGTGGAGAGATGGAGTAAAGGAGAAAGGTATATTATGTAATGTTATGCATGAAAGTATGAATCTACTGTATTTTTCATCAGAATTATTTATATGTGGCAAGATAATATTAGGAGTTTATTTCTGGTTTATCCGAGTTCATATTCTTTTGATATGCTTTCAGAAATGCATTTTTATGAAAAATATAGTTGGAACTAGGGCTGGTCTATGAAACGATAACAGTAATTATTGCAATATAAAATTTTTTGATGAAATTATAACATACCGGTAAGTTTAATACATTTTCGATGTAATGTTTATGCCAGTACCAATTTGCCTAACTTATAAGCGCTGCCATTTCTGTTGTGTATGAGATACATTAAGCAGAGCAAAACAGAGCTGTTCGTTTACTTGCTGACCGTCTCAATCACGCAACCACTTAACAGCTCTGTGAGGTCCAGTGAAAAAAAGTGTTCCAGTTTGGTGCAGAGTTGTCTCATACAAACCAAACAAATCAAATCCCTCGTGATTTAAACTATTTTAAAGCCAGATGAAACCGTGCTGACATTCTCAACAACACTGACGTGGAAAACAGGAGAAAGATTGAGCCACAATGATCCAGTTAGAAGGCTTTTTTTAATCCACAAATCTCAAACATTTACCATGGATTTACTTTTTAGTAACGCAAACTGTAACCATGGTGCTGTGGCAGAAATGTGGGATATTCATATTGAATTTAATTATATTATTAATGTAGACATTAAACGTATTAAAGGAGTAATGGGATATAATTACAGTATTTTTTATTAAGCTATAGCAGTTTGTTATTTGTATTACTGTTTTTCATAAATACCATAGAAACAATATAGTTACTTTTTACCATGGTGGTAGTGAGGTCCAATGCATGGTTTTACCTGTTGTTAACATGATCCAATAAAATTTACCTTATGAAATTTTACCCTATAAAAATTAGTTTATTGATTTTTTTTTTTACAGTTTTTATCAACATTTACATCTGTATCCCAACTCAGGCTACTGCTACTGTCAACTGTACATTCCTAAGAGACAAAACATGTCATTTACATTTTTTAAATGTTCATCTGTTTGGCAAGTGTTTGTCATGTTCTGGTGATAAAACCACAATTAACTGTCTGGTTTCTATAACTTTAATTCAGGAGCAAAAATCTGCCTTTACATTTTTAAGAAATAAAGATTTGAAATAATTACAGATATAGACTGATTTTATTAATTTTTTATCATGATAATTTTTTGGCCATATCGTCCAGTCCTAGTTGGAACAAAGATTTTTAATTCCTGTAATTTTTTAACTATTGTTTAAACAGATGGGATGACAGAAGTGACACCCCGAGGTCTAGGTCCAGATCAGAAGAGCATTCCTTAAGTGAGGCCTCTGTAAACAGTCGGTATCAATCCAGAAAAGAAAAAAAGAAAACCAAACGCAAGAAGAAAAATAAGAAAAGAAAGCACTCAAAGAAACATAAAAAGAACAAGACTAAAGAGACCTCCCTGTCTGAGGGTGAGATGAATGGGTCTTCAGGTAAAAGGTCAAAACTCTCAGGCCCTACTGAAAGGAGACATTCTCGATCACGCTCTCGTTCCTACTCTCGTTCGACCTCGCGTCACTCCCACAGATCATATCAATCTGAGTCAGAAAGGAGACGTTACCTATCAAGCTCTTCTAAAGATTCACGATCTTATTCGAAGTCCAGGAGCAGATCCTATTCCAGAAGTCGCTCAAGGTCTGAGAGGCGGGGCCGGCCATCCATGAGGTCAAGTCGTAGTCGATCAGGGCGGTCTGTTACACATTCTAGGTCACTTTCTCGTTCTCGATCTAGATACAGGACAAGGTCAAGAACAAGATCAAAGTCTAGGTATAGTTCAGAAACCCCACCACGTTCCAGGAAAAGAAAGGAGTTGAGATCCCCTCGAAAGTCAAAGTCTACAGAGGGTGGTATTTCCAAATTAGACAAGCCTGTCCCTAGATCGGTTCAAGGTGAAGAACCCAAAGCGCCAACAGCAGCATCTTCAGAGAGTGTCTCTGTTTTGCCTTTGAGTGACAGTCCACCTCCCTCTCGATGGAAACCAGGCCAGAAACCCTGGAAACCCTCTTACGTCCGCATCCAAGAGATTAATGTAAAGTCAGCCCCAGCTTCTAATGCACTAATCAGCCCATCATCAAATGTACCTCTGGAAAAAAATTCCTCTTCAAAGCCAGACACGGCTGTTAGTCACAAAGGCCTCAGCAGCAGTAATAATAATGTTCCTGATAGGCTCCTGCAAAGCAGTTTGTCTAGAAGCAGGTCACGTAGTCAATCAAGAACCAGCAGCAAATCACTGAGTCAGTACGGCAGCCGATCTTCCTCCTGCACTAGGTCAGAATCATATGGTTCAAACAAAGAAAGATCCACTGAAAAAAAGAGAAAACATTGTAGTTCTCACAAAAATGACCAAAATAGGGACAAGCATGCAAATCATGGTAGTGGCCACAAATATACATCTCCCTCCTCAGAGGATTTATCTGATAGTCCATACAGTCCTCTCCACGGACACAATGATTCCTTGGTACAGAGAAACACACTTGATTGTCTGTCAGATCTACAAGCAGTGGCAATGAAAAGCAAGAACCCCATTCAAAGGAAAGAACCAAACAACAACAATGCATCAGGATGGGAAAGTGAAGGAGAGAACTCAAGTAAGAACACTGCTGCAGAACACAACCAAATCGCTGTTAAGGAGGAAGGACTTACTGAAACAAAAAAGAGGCAGATTTTGGCTCGTTGCTGGGAGTCTGAGAGTGACTCTGAAATGCCAAACAAAATGGTAGGTGGTGATGCCAAACATGTGTCTGAAAAAGAGGAAGGAGAGGCTAGTTCAGAATCAGAGGATGATGACCCTTTATGGTCAAACCATGGGGCAGAAATGCTCAAGCTATTAAAAGGTAATGAGGAACAGTCTGCAGACAAAAAAATTTCAAAACACAAGAAGAAAGCCAAGCGTAAGCACAAGCACAAAAGGAAGAACTCTTCCAGGTCAGGATCTCGCAGAACCAAGGCAAAGAAATCCAAGAAGCACCAGAAGCCAAAAGAGACATTTCACTGGCAGCCTCCACTGGAGTTTGGTGATGAAGGGGAAGAGGATGATTCAGTCACTCAATCAAAACAATTACACATAGCAAATCCTGATTCTGTCAGTGATGCAGTAAAAAGGCATGTAAAATCTGGAAAGATCAAGCCCAAAGTCTCAGAGAATAAGGATCAGGATAAAGGGATTATCGAAGACAAGTTTTCAGTAGAGTCTTCTAAAAGTATTGATGAGAATGGGAAAATGACTAATCGCAATAAGGTAAATCGCAATACTGCAATTTCAGCTCAAAGACATCCAGAGATTCCAAAGCCATCCACAGATCTAGAGACCAATCTTTCAGACACTAACCTGGCAAGAGCCAAACCAAGAGACCCAAATAAAGTTGAGAGATGTTCTCCAGAGCGCATCCCAGAGGCTCAGCAACCAGGTCCCAAAGCGATTGGCTTTTCTCCACTGAAAAATATTCTGAATAATAGCAGTGTGCTTGTTCCACCTCAAATAGAAAAAGGAAACTCTAATACTATTGGACCTACTTTATCTCATGGCAGTCAGCCAGAGGAAACTGTACCTGGTGACAGTCCTGTCTCAGCAGTTGAAAATAAATGGAAACCTTTGAAAGACATGAATGTTATGCAGCCCATCAGTACAAAGACTTTCATTATGAAAATAAACAAACAGCAAGATCAACTGGATGGAAAGGCTCAGGGTCTCAAAATTGAGATCAAGAGCAAGAGTAGAGTCCGTCCAGGATCCCTCTTTGACGAGGTACGAAAGACGGCTCGGTTAAATCAGAGACCCAGAAATCCAGACAGCTCAAGTGAAGAAGACTCTCTTCCAACAACTGGAGAAAGAGCTGGATCCCTTAATCACTCTCAGAACAAGTCACGGTCTGTGTCCAGTCACAGGTCCACACGCAGAAGTAGGTCCCATTCATATAGCCACTCCAGGAGCAGGTCCAGAAGCTACACCTACACTTCTAGGTTGGTTACAACAGGCATTGTTTTCCTGTCTACATATGTCCAATCTTTCAGGTCAAGTCAATTTTGTATGTGTTTTCATTTTTCACACAGGAGCTACAGTAGAAGTAGAAGCAGGAGTAGATACAGTAGAGGGCACTCTCGTTCTCGAAGTAGCACCTACCGAAGATCTCGCAGGTAAGATATTTATCTCTGGTTCAGTCTAATATGTTTTTATTTTTTAAAAACCCTTTGGTGTGTATGTATGTGTAATGTTCCTTATTAATTAAGATGCCACGTGATCTTGTTTTAGTCACACAGACAGTAGGAGCCGTTCTAGAAGTCGATATAGAGGTCGACACACATCAAGGTGAGCATTGAGTCAAAATTATTAATGCTAGGGATGCTCATTTCGGTTAATATTCCCGACCGACAACCGGCACTCGTTATCCTAGTATTAACCGTTAACTGATAAGATTATAGCCTAATATTGAATTGGCATTAAATACAAATAAAATTGTCAAGTGTCTGTGACCCGTTAAAAGGACAAACTATTATTTTTTTCATGGGTTTACTTTAATGTGCAAACAGCAGCATACAGAACAGATCAACAAAATAAACTGGATTCACATAAATTTTTCACGCACCTGCAGCATTTCTGACAGTGACAACCGAGAATAAAATAATATAAATGAAAAACATAAAATAGGTCTACACTAAATAACTTAAATAATTCACAAATGAAGATGACAAAAAGAAAACACTGAATCTGTTTGAAGCTTTGAAAAACCGGCTATTTATTTTCCGTCAGACTACGTTTTTTCGTCAAATAAAAATAGCAGGCCTACCTTAATCCACACCTTGTGTAGTTTTTATTTTAAAAAGTAACAAGTCTACAACCATACAGCAAACTAATAAAAAAAAACCTTAACAATAAAAAAACCTTTTACTTTTTAACCGTTTAACTGATAGTATTAATCGGTCAATTTTTACTTTCGGTTAATAGTTAAACGGTCGATATGAGCATCCCTAATTAATGCACTTTGATTTTAACTTGGTGTTATTTAATTATTCTTTGCATTATGTGTTTTATTCCTGGAAATACAGGTCTGAGTCTTACGATAGTTATTCTAGCCGCAGCCGCAGTCGTAGCAGGAGAAGAGGGCGTCGGAGAAGCGAGAGCTCTGATCGCAGGTCCAGGTACATCATAAATAAATCCTCGTATTACCACAACTGTCTTGTGTGAATTTGATAATGTGCCTCACTGAAGCTAATTCTTTGATATCTGTTTTCACGTTCAGGTCATATCGCTCCTACAGTCGCAGTTCGTCCAGGCAACGAAGTCATAGCCGAAGCAGTCGATACAGCTGAGTTAAATTTAAAAGAGGTAGCATTAAGCTGCCTTATCCTCCTTCAAATGCTTTTTTGAACGATAGACTCAGTTTAAGTTTTGTGAAGTATGTATTTTGATGTCCACTGTATCATCATGTAATGTGTATTTTGAATATGTTCTACTGTATTTTTCCACACGAGTCTATGTATGAATGTCACTGCTTTATTCTGGTAAATTTTTCTATTATTCCCAAGAAAATGCGCATAGAAACTGTTTAATTGTAAAGCTAAGGTTATATATAAACAGCCACTTACCTCAGTCATGTTTGGAAGGATTTTAACATGCAGTCAAAGGTAGACAATAGACATGGATGGGACATTTTTAGTTTTGGCCAAAGTAATGTTTTGTTTAAAAGGTTGGCCCTCAGTGCATTTTTTTATTTGTACATAAAAACAAAAAGCCTTTGCTGAATGTATCTAGTGCTGCTTATTGATGCACCATTTAAATATAAGAAACGAAACTTGCCAATTGTAAATAAAACTACATTTGTTTGTGAAATCCTATAATGTGTATTCTGTGAGATGACATGTTCTTGTAGAAACACTTACTTCATGTTTCATTGACTCCTGCAAATGTACACAAAGTTGACTAAGATGCATTAGGATACAGTCATTGCAAATGCATGTTATTTTAAGTCCATTTCAGGCTTGTTTGTTAATATTGATGACCTACAGTGGCTCTACAAGTATGTTTGCTTTTTGATTTAGTCCTGTACTACAGTGGGTTTGATTAATTTAAATCAAGTGTGTCAAATAGGTGAGACATCCCAAATTGCTGGTTTACACCAGGACCAGGATTGACAACCACTGCACTAACATTACTGCGTCCAAATTCAAGTACTTTCAGAGTGTGAACTGAATTCTCTGATTAAGAATTCACTTATTGACAGTTTTTTCAAATTGTTATTTAGGTGTGTAGTGCATATACTGTATTTCTAGGCATACTACTCATACTGTTAAGGAACTGTTTAAACATAAAGGGCAAAACATTGTGGTACTTAAAGCATTTACACATAAAAGAAGCTGCTCAAATCACAGTTCTCCACAATTTCTTGTTTTTTACTTTTCAAACCTGACCGTTCCTTAGCTCCTGTAGCCTCCCGTCTACTGGTTACTCATAATGTCGGAAGGTGCAATATGTCATCTGGATATTGTTTGCCTATTGTTTCATGAAAACTGCATATTTGGACATCCTATTCACTATATAGTAGAAAAGTGTGCATATTTGGACACAAGGAATATGGATTTCAGGATTTAGCATGTTGTGCACAAGGCAAGGTGATGTAAGACATACAAGGTCATGAGCACCTGGGTGACAATGCTCCATCTCCCCATAAGGACAGCTCGTAATGATCAGTCATTTTTTAGCTGTAGATGTAGAATAGAGCTCAGACGGGGGAAAAAATCTAGTGCAATGGCCCTTTAAAACTTCTGACAAAAGCCCATATGATCCCCGAGCTCCAATCACCAATTCCTACTGCAAAAGCAGCCTCTGCATTTTTGTCTGTCTGAATGCTGCTAGCACGGCGAAAAAAAAAGAAGAAGAAAAAAAACAGTGAAGGGAAGGATAACTGAAGAAATGTGAAAATCCAACGTACTATTACATGGCGAGCGGAAGCCCTGGGCAAATGGAGGTTTTCGCGGACTCTTTCGATGCTAGAGACCTCGGATCAAAATGGTACAGTAGACAACGACATTTTGTATCCATATTTTATCTTTAGTAATTTTGAAAGACTTAGCTAGGCCGATGAAACTTGCAATAGTTTGTCCTGGGATGTGTCTGACTTTTTGAATGTGTTAAATAACGTGATGTCGCCAATAAATTTGACCGCGCAATGAAGTTTGCAACTTGTACGGAACGCCGACAGTAACAGAAATTGGAAGGTTAACAAGAATGCAATGGCCACAATAGCTACATTGTTGCATTTAAATAGTTAAATTCTCTCGTATCAGTGTGGACAGGAATCACGTCGTGACTGGTGCATTTTGTGGACATTGAAGCATCAAAAATTAAAAGCGAAACATTTTTATTCCAAATATACTTTTGAAATTATAGACTTTGTTGTGCAGGAAGAGACAGAATGCATGTCACAACACTGTTAACTTAGACATGACCTTAAATTTGTGGATATTTTATTCATAGAGTTTAGAAATACAGGAGCTTAGAAACTTTAATACTTTAAATACCATTTCAATTAATTTGTGATTAGATGAATCATTTTCGAAATGTTACAACTTCGAAATACAATTAGAATTTGCCCAAAACAAATCAACTTGAGAGCATTTATATAGCAAATAGTTATAATTTCATAAATTACATCAGTATTAATTGTCACGATTATTGTTAGTAATGTTGTAGTCTAATGATTACTTTTTTAATCAAAATAGAAACAAAACAATACTTAGTTCTGCATATTAGTTATCAAAGTTAAACAAATATTTAAATTGTAATTAAAATACTAACATTTCTACCAAAACAAACAAACAATAGCAACAACAAACATATTTTAAAGGGTTCACATGGGCATAGAAAACCTAGAAGTATCAAATAATTTAGAAATTAAATTGTGATTTTGACAACTGGAAAAGTGTGTGTGGGGGAGGTGTTAAAAAAATTATGGAATGTAATAAATATTTTTTCTAGAATTTCATTGTCTAGAAGTTGCTCTTTATGTGTGTACCTTTATAAAACAAATTTAAAAAAATCATTATCCACCAATCACAAATGACTAAAAAGGTCTGTTTTTAAGTTAATCATAACCATAAGAATAAAATTGGAAGAGATTTGGAAAAGAGATGTCTTATTTTTTACAGTCTATGCTTACAACCAGTTATTTTCATTATCGGCACTCGTATTGTTTTAGTAAATTAATATTTGATATTCGTAGCAAAAACCGGGGGAGAGAATCAGAGAGGTTGCAGGATGACAGCAGAGTTGATTTTAGGAGCCGTCATTAAAAAATAAAGCATGTATTAAAGTACAGTGAGGCCCCTTCACATCTGGAAGCTGGGTTAATACAGTATCTGGGTCAGGTCACTACTTTAGTGCCATGACCCTGTCTTTTCGCCCTCCAGTTGCTCGCTTGCCTTATTTCACATGACCCTAAAAAAGTGTAGTTATCTTTTTTATTATTATTTATACAGTGCAAACAGTGCAGTGTTTAAATATGCATTGTCTGTTGATGGCTGACATGTGAAATGAGTCAGAACCCAAAGGACTCCATTACGCCCCCATTAATGCATTCGGTTATGAGGATATAATACATTTTAGACAATCACCAGAATATCACTTGATGATGCCATTAAACAGTTTAATTTCTAAAACTCGAATAACAGAAAAGGAGCTGCACTTGGTGACTGGTTAAGCATTGGTGCTAAAAGCTGCAAGGTCATCATGGGATTGATAAATAGGGAACACTCGTACTTATAAGACGTTTTGGATAAAAGCTTCAGACAAATGAAGAAGTGCATTGAATGCACTGATGATTTCCTAACATGAACCTACATGAATCGCCCCTTTGTTAACAGTTCCTCTTGAAATCGCTATGAAAGTTTGTACTTTAGAAAGAGCCGAAACAGAACAACTCTCTTGCTAAACTCTGCAGTCTTGTCCTTTAGTGCTGCAGCCTGGAAAAAAGCATCATGCTGAGGGTTTTTATGTAACCGTCTATTCAGGACATTCCTGCCCACCCTTGACTTTGAGGCTTCGTTGTCTCTCAGTGCTCTGCTGTTGGGGACACTTAAATCCATGTGACAAGTGCTCCTCCAACGCCTCCCAGCATTCAACTCCAGCAGAATTGTTATTATTACTATCGATGTTGAAAACAGTACATTTTTAAAATTAAGGACACGGTAAAAGAAATACAGTAAAACAGTAATATTGTTAAATCAAATAGAAAGGTAATAACAATTTAAAATAACTATTTTCTCTTTGAATATATTTTAAAACTTAATTTATTCCTGTGATGTCAAAGCTGAATTTTCAGCATCATTACATCATTCTTAATATGGTGATTTTCTGTTCAAGACACATTTCTTATTATTATCAATGTTGACAACAGTTGTGCCGCTTAATATTTTTTGTGGAAATGGTGATACGTTTTGTTTCAGGGTTCTTTGATGAATAGAAAGTTCAAAGGAACGGCGTTTATTTAAACTAGAAATCTTTTGTAACATTATAAATGCCTTTACTGTCCTTTTTGATCAATTAAATGCGTCCTCGCTAAAAAAAGATGAATTTCTTAAAAAAAAAAGAAACTCTTACTAATCCCAAACTTTTGCAATATTATAAAATCAGCATAAATTAAAGGCAGTACAACAAATATTTACATACTACTATGTAAATATGATGCATGTGTATCTATGCATCATTTGAAGGATCTATTCGCTAAATCTTAATGATTTTAATCTGATCAACACACATTTCCTTCTTTTTGGTCATGGGAAAGAGAAGACATTTCCCACACTAGTGTCCGTGTTGTTTCCTCACATTGCTCCACACTTAGGTCAGAGTCTGTACATGGAGAAGAGTTGGCCTCTGAGCAGAGTTAGCCGATCTGTGGCAGTTTGTGTTTTATGTGGCAGAGACATGCCAGCTCCACAGGCTCTTCTCTTGGCCAGGAATCCTGACTCAGCTCGGGCTGAGTTCTTCTGGCAGTCCTGCTCTGGAGATCACATGCAGCTTTGATTATTCAGTTCCTGCATCCGATAAGCTTAAAGTGCTCCTATTACGCTATTTTAAAGGGTCCTTATTTGGTTTTGGAAGTCTCTTTTAATAGGTTTACATGCATCCAAGGTCAAAAACACTTCTCATAATTTCTCATATACATTGCAGCATCACCTCTTTTCTCACAGTAAACCCCTCCTTACCAAAAGTCTCCTCTGCTCTGATTGGTCAGATGGCCAATGTGTTGTGTGTTGCCTGACCTCAGCATCTGTATATCAATTCGAGTCAGAGCCATGGGAAAATGTTTCTATTGTTTCTATTTGCAATAAAGATTAGGCTTCTGAGATTATAGTATTTTGCAAAGTTGTTTGCTGTTGATTGCAAACATCAATTTTCAATTTTCTCCCAGCACCGTCACAGTGATCTCACACAGCTTTGTTTGTGTCACCAAATGGTTCTTACGGTGGATGTACTGTCTCTTTTTACGAGAACCTGATTTCTCTCACCTTGTCAAGTGCATCTTTTATTATTAAACGCAGCAGACGCTCGAGAGGTAAAATCCTTTGTTTGTTTGTCTGGCTCAATTTCATGCCCCGCTTGGCACATAATATTTCAAACTGTGATTCTTTTGCTCTTGGTTGCATTAACATATAGATGGAAATGGGAAGTCTTCTAAATATATCTGTCCCAGCCGGCTCAGGAAAAGTGCAATGAGTCGTAGACATTCCCATGTGGTTTTGTAATAAAATAAATGTTGTACGACGATTGAAGTATCCAAAGGTTATGAGAGATACTTAATCCCTTATTGTTGCCATAAATGACTTTCGTTTAAACTAACATAGTCCCATTGTAGTCTTTCAATTTCCAGATTTATTAATTGATTTTTATTTTATTTTCTCGCAGCCGATGCCGACGAGGACTTCCCTGAGCAGAATTTGCTGGACATACAGAAACTCTGCAGTAAACACCAGCTGTCCTCCCTTGCTCTACTAAAACCATTGGAAAGGTGAGTGTTTCTGGGTTTCTTTCCTCCTCAGAAAAGAGCTTTCATTGGCTTCCAATCTGTTATGCTGTTAATTAGCTGAACCTGAAAACTACCGACAGGGGAGCGCCATCCTAATCACTTATTCTGATTGAACTTGGTAATTAGATGAAGGGATGGAATGGATGAAAACCTCTTTCAACAATTTCTAACCTAAGGGAAATATTTAAATAAATATTCAATATTTTTATTTATCGGTTTGCATTTTGGTAAACTTTCAGTTTTGTTTTAGTTATTTTTTTAGGGCCCAAGCCTTGAAAAGGCGAAGGCCCTATTGTTTTCCTAAGGATTATTAGGGCCCAAGCCTTGAAAAGGCGAAGGCCCTATTGTTTTCCTTAGGATTATTATTATTATTATTATTATTATTATTAGGGCCCAAGCCTTGAAAAGGCGAAGGCCCTATTGTTTTCCTTAGGATTATTATTAGGGCCCAAGCCTTGAAAAGGCGAAGGCCCCTATTGTTTTCCTAAGGATTATTAGGGCCCAAGCCTTGAAAAGGCGAAGGCCCCTATTGTTTTCCTAAGGATTATTATTTATTATTAGGGCCCAAGCCTTGAAAAGGCGAAGGCCCTATTGTTTTCCTTAGGATTATTATTATTATTATTATTATTATTATTATTTTATCGACTATTCGGGCACTTTTGGGGCTCTTAACGTGCACGAAAACTCTTGAAACTTTGCACACTGGTCAGAACCCGCGGCCATCAGGGCCGGGCTGAAGCTGGTACCCGGGCGTGGCAGGGGGGCTCGACAGCGCCCCCTGGAACGGGGTCCGAAAACTTGGTCCATAAATCAAACACGCTTCCATGTAATAATATGAAACTCGGTACACATATAGATCTCATCGGTTCATATATCCTTTGTACTTTTACTTTTTACCCCAGCCCAACAGGAAGTCGGCTATTATGGTTTGTTTGGAAGTGTATGCCCCTGGAATTCGATATACTCCTCCTAGAGAATTCAACCAATCGCAAGGAAACTCGGTCAGCATGATGTCAAGACATTGAGGATGAAAAATTGCCAGGGGATTTTTCATATCTCGAACGGTTTGGCCGTGGCGAGGAAACAAATTTATGGCGAATAATGGAAACAGGAAGTGTGTTATAACTTCTGCATACATTAACTGATCTTGATGAAACTTCAACAGTATGTTCGCTGTAAGAGGCCGATCACATGGATGTGACTATTGTGAGTCAAAGTTATAGCGCCACCAACTGGCAGCAGGAAGTGTGTCACTTTCAAAATGCTTTGAAATCACCCTCTTATTTTAACCTGATTTGCTTCAAACTTCACTACTATAATGTAAACACACGGCAGATGTAGACCTGTGAATGGATTCTTGATATCTTAGATACTGTTGTCGTGGCAACGCATCAAACTTTAATATTCTTTTTTTATGCTTAGCATACTTGAAATTGCATGAAACTCGACAGACACATCTCATTGATTAGCCTGTAGACATGTGCAAAGTTTCAGAAACGGGCGTGTTGAGGGCTCAGTAGCGCCACCTTTTGTCAAAAGTGGGGGGATTAATTTCATCTACAGTAATAAAAATCGGTATGTGTATTCTTCTCCTCGAGCCAGACAACTTTCTAATTTACACTCAATAGCTCCAACCAACAGGAAGTCAGATATTTTGGTTTGAAAATTGTCATTTTATGTCTCTCTCTCTCTCTCTGAGCCTACGTCTCTGTGTGTGTGTGTGTGTGTCTGTGAGTGAGTGTGGGGAGGGGGAGGGGGGCTAGATTAACCATTTGACTGCTGTGTGGTTTGGCCTGCATTTAAAAAAGAAAATAAATGTCTTACGCCTTGTATCTTTTAAATAAGTTGTATTAATAAGTAAAGGCATATAACCAGTTGAATTGTAGTGCATTGAACATAGTTTTATATAATTAGTTTATTAATTAAATTAACTTGGTCCATAAACTTCGTCAGAAAATTTGGTCCATAAATCAAACACACTTGCATGTAATATTATGAAACTCTGTACTCATATAGATCTCATCGGGCCAAACAACTTTAAGCCAGCCCAACAGGAAGTGGGCTATTTTGGTCTTAATGTGGATGTTTAGCAAAACCAGGCTCTACATTTTTACCCACTCCTCTTAAGTGGTTTATTTTATTCCCACCAAACTTTTTCAACATGATGAAAATACATTAAAGAAGCATAATTGTGAATATCTATTGAATATCTCTAATTGTTTTGCTATGGCGAGGGATTAAAGTCATGTAAAAAAAAAAAAAAAACACTAAAAGCCTCATATCTTCTAAAAATGTAATTATACACCATTTATTTCTAGATAAAATTATACAAATATCAGAACTAAACCCATTTTATTCTTGTTTTCAATTTAAGAATAATGTACAAGTTTAAAAACAGCCAGGATGCACTATTCAGTTAAAAAATAAATATATCAAATAATACATAGGGCTATACTGCCCTCTTGTGTTCAAAATCAGGTAGGCCTATTGTATTTAAATATAGGTAGCTGCTATGTGACTCCGATTTTTTCTCACCGGTTATTTGACGTGTAACACCGGGGGCTTTTATATCGCTAAGTTAAAAGTGAAAGTAAAGTAAGGACATTTATAGTGGTGGCGCTCGCAGTGCGCTCGAATGAATTTCTATGGAAGTAGAAATGAAAAAACGTTCGCTCTGTTTTGCTCGCTCGTCGCCATGGATGCGCACTGTAATGAATGCCACTGCAGCCGCATACTTTTTAGTGTCAGTTTAAAATTAGTGCAATATCGGGGGCCAATTGCTTGAATTGTGAGTTCAATAGTCTATTATTTTTCACGGAAAACACAACAACAAAAGAGTACAATGACAGATTCGCTTAAATAGGCGCTTTTACATAAAATAGCCTATTCCGTCATCATCTTTTCAGTCAGCTCTTCACTCTCGTGATTAATGAAATTTGACTCCTGTTGCTGATATTTGCTGCAACTTTCGTTCTGCTCACAATTTAGTAAGCAAACACGTTTCAAATGTGTTTTTATTTTATTTTTGCGTATATATATGTGTGTGTATAATATATATATATATAGGCCCTATATACATATATATATATATATATATATATATATATATATATATATATATAGCTTATGTTTCAAATATGAGTTAATTAACAATCGTTTGAAAGAATGATACTTTTAAACATATCACTAAACCGTCATTAGGTGTCGCCAGGCGACCGTCTTAATGAGCGAGTCATTGATTCATTTGTTCGAACGATTCGTTCGAACGGCTGAGTCATTCATGAATGAGACAGATTATGGATTGGTCATTGAATCTTTCAGTCAACCGATTCGTTCAAAATGCTGAATCATTCAGTAATGAGAAAACACGTTGCTGTGAGATGCGCAATGGTTCTGCTGTGATCTTTGTTTAACTAGTTTCACTGCTGAAACAGAAAAAAGTCAATATTGCATATAAAATGTAAGTGATTTGACGTGTGTGTGAGAGAGATTGTGTCTGTTACAGTGACAAGAGTTTAACCCTTTAAGGCCTTGTCTTTTTGGATATATATCTCTTTTTTTATTACAAAATGTGCATACAACCCATATATTGTAAATGTATTGTTTGCTTTAAATTAAATTAAGATTGTATGTTTGGTAATTGAACCTAAATAAATTTAAAATTAGGAAGTCGGCTATTATGGGTTTAGGAAGGCCGATCAGATGGATGTAACTATTGTGAGTCAAAGTTATAGCGCCACCAACTGGCAGCAAGAAGTGTGTCACTTTCTAAATGCTTTTGACAAAAGTGGGGGGGTTAGTTTTATCTACAGTAACAAAACTCGATATGTATATTGTACTCTTCGAGCCGGACAACTTTCTAATTTACCGTAATTAGCTCAGATTAAGAGGAAGTCACATATTTTGGTTTGAATATGGTGAGCCTCTCTCTGTCTCTCTCTGAGCTAATATGGCAAGCCGTTTTAACATTTAATCATTTTAACCTACTAGTCTCTATTTTCATGCTACTAGTACTTATTTTTTAGATACTAGTATCTATTCCATTAAGTACTAGTACTTATTCATTAGCGACTAGTGCTTATTCTGTTTAGAATATTCAAAGTGCTTATTCAATTTTTATGCTTATTTATATTTTCAGAGCAGAAAATCCGATTTTTCTGCTTATTCAATATTGCATCTAAAATGTAAGTGACTTGACGTGTGTGTGTGTGTGTGAGAGAGAGAGAGATTGTGTCTGTTACAGTGACAAGAGTTTAACCCTTTAAGGCCTTGTCTTTTTGGATATATATCTTTTTTTTATAAAAAAAAGTGCATACAACCAATATATTTTAAATGTATTGTTTGCTTTAAATTAAATTAAGATTGTATGTTTGGTAATTGAACCTAAATAAATTTAAAATTAATGTTCTATATTTCAGATCAATATATTTGTTTTCCTTCATTTTAATCAACACTAACTTTATTCTCATCTGAATTATAAATAACTTATTTCTGTATAAAATAAAAAATCCCGAATAATCCAGACCAACCAGAGCGCACTATTTCTACAACATCATCAGTGCTGAAGCGGAACTACCAGAGCCGTTCGGCAGATAGCGAGCAGATATTTTGTGTCACGTCGTGCACAATAACCCTAAAGGCACCAGGGTGGCGGTGCCACCGGCTTTTTATATATATATATATACATATATATATATATATATAAATATAGCTGCGAGCAGCGATGAAGGGCCAAAGCCGGCGGCACCGCCACCCTGGTGCCTTTGGGTAACTAAAGGCACCGGGGTTGCGGTGCCACCGGCTTGGGCCCGTAATCGCTGCTCGCAGCTATATTTATATATATATATATATTTATTATTATTTTACTACCTTTTGGGCACTTTTGGGGGCCTTAACGTGCTCGAAAACTCTTGAAACTTTGCACACATCTCAGAACCCGCGGCCATCAGGGCCGGGCTGAAGCTGGTACCCGGGCGTGGCAG